GCTGCCTGGAGGAGAGCGCAGGCGATCGCCTCTGGAGCCGAGTGGACCGCCTCGTCTCATGTAACGCTCGATGTTGCTAACTATTTCCTTCTAAGCTCAGGCCAGTGACCTCCTGGCCTGTCACATGATCCGGCCAAAATCACAACATGGCGTCTAACAAGCAGGCGGCCGTATACTGTAGACCGGTGCTATGTGATCCTGAATCATTCCTGCCGACACAGGATGGATGTAGCAGTGTAGTGCCCAGGATTTAGGAAGAGGTGACAAAATGTGTCGAAAACATCACACCCCCCCTGCAGAGAGAGAGGAGCCATGATGTGCGATGTTGGATGTCACGATTACGTCACCAGAGTAAAGAGTGTTCAACGACACAATGAGATTACAATATGCACTTTATTTTCATATTTTTTTATGGCAAGTGCATTTCAGTTCAGTGTGTTCTCTGCTGAGTGACTAAACTAATGTGCAAAACTAATTATTATTACCTTTTGAAGTAGTTTTGATGTAATATGTCCGCTGAGTTATTGTGTTGTATTGTACGCTGAAATGCTTGACAAATCACAGCCCCACAAAATACAGCGAGGCCAAACATTAAGCGTGGGTCGGGGGGGGGGGGGGGGCGTGGCTTTTGGTGTCATTGCGCCGGGGGAGGGTATCTTAACCGTTATTGTTCTTATGTAATTAGTTAATTTCTATTTCCATGCCGCGCCATCCCACTCGATATTACAAGACGCCGCTATTTATAAAACAAGCAACTTCTGGTGACACATCAAAAAGTTACAACATTACATGTGCTCCTGCTTTCTTTAAACTAGCATACAGCTATGGGGGGGGGGGGGTGTTACAAATTGTGCTCAAACAGCAGGAGAATGAAATGCCAAACGTCTTAAGTTTATCCTGATGAAGAGCTTTTTTCCTCATGTGTCAGGCCTTCTCCGAGGGAGCGGCTCATTTTGTGTTCCGGGCCTTTTCGGGCTTCCTTCTCCTCTAAATATCTGATATTCTCAGAGGAACTCGTTTCCTTCAGAAAACACCGGCCTCGGTGGGAACTCCTCTTACGCAGAGATTCGCTTTAGACTGTCGCCGTCTTTCCATCAGACATCTCTTCCCAGCTGCAGCTAGTGTACGCTCCATCGTGAGACGCTGCCCCCCCGCCCCCCCCACGGATAAAGAAACCAAAGGCTTCAAGACAGCTTGCTCTGAACTTCCACCATCGGTTGTTTCGGATCTGTGACGCAAATCGCTCGGGACAAAGTGCCTGCTTTCTATACACCGCCGTCCCTCGGAGTGAAAGCGGTTCGCAAACACGCACATGCGTGTGCACACACAAGCGCGGCGGTAAGAAGGAGACGGCGGTGTCCCGTCAAAGCCACGGAGGCTGATTTATCCTCTGCCGCCGCTCTCGCTGCTGTCCTGCAGACCACAGACATGAGGGATGCCTTTAATTTCCCATTAAAATGCCCTGGAACAACCGAGGGGGCCGCTGTGTGTCACTGTCTGTATGTGTGTGTGTGGATGGCTTGATTAGACCGCGTGACAGCAGTGTGGTGGGTGTGTGTTCGCGGGCCTTTTTTTACGTTAAGCCGTGTGAGGAAGCTGCAGCGTCACGGCGCACGTCGGTCCTGCGGCTCCGGGGGGCCCCGCGATGAATATTAATGGCCGAGAACATGTGGATTGGGAGTTGGGCTATCAGGGCGGGCCTTCCTAATTGACATTTTACCTGCTGTATACCTTAACGGGGCTGTAAAACACCAGGACCCAGGGCTCAGCCGCAGGGGCGACGTGTCAGTCAAAGCTCTTCCCACTGCCGGCCTTCCTCTGGGAGGATGAGGAGGAGGAGAGAGAGGAGAGAGGAGTCCGGCCTGGACTCCTCATCACTCACATTCAGCGCTGAGGTGTTGCATGTGTGCCGTTTCTTGACATCAGGACGTTGATGGGGTTTCATTTGGGTAAATTAAGATGCAGTCAGGAGACAGGAATACTGCTCCTTCAGACCTCCACACTGTCTTTTATGTTTCTGCATTTTGGCGGGAAATCTGTCTGATTGTGCAAAAGATTTAATGTTTTTGCTCAACAAATGACACTAAAGTTGATTTCAGAGCCATCTTCCGGGATAAATAAATGTTCCAGCCGGTTCTAAAACCTCAAAAGCTGAACGGGGATCAGGTTTATGCATTTCTACGGTACCTGAAATTTGCCGTAACGCCATTAAAAGACACCAAAGTCCATTTGTTAAAAAGATAATTGTGTTTTCAACATTTCTCCAGATGTCAGCACAGTTCCACTCCCACTGGTAGTTATGTTATTTATTTATCCATTATCTATTTATTCATCCATTTATGTATTATTTTAGTTATTTTCATATTTCTCTTTCCATCTTCTTCTACTCAATACTGTCATTTTTTTGCAATCTCTCCCTTCTAGATCTTTCACACTGAAAACTGATCACACACACACACACACACACACACACACACACACACACACACACACACACACACACACACACACACGAGTCCTTCTTTGCATTTGTTGGTTTGTTTTTAGGGTCAGATATTTTATGTGCTTGTTTTTATGCAGATCACTTGTTGAAAACAAAAAAAACTAAATAAATAAGATTAGAGCAGTTAGAGCAACAACTAATGATTATTATCATCAACAAATATGCTGAATATTTTCTCATATTTTGGTCCATTAAATAATAAAAAACAACAACAGCTACCACAATTTCCAAATTGAGCCCAAAATGAGATTCAAACTGCTTGTTTTGTCCGAACAGATTCAAGGACCCATCGCAGAAGACGAAGAAAGCCAGCAGCAGATATTCACACCTGAGACGCTGGAACCAGTGAATCGGCTTAAAAAGTTGCTGCTCAAGTTTGCTGTGGATCGCTTTAATCGATCAACTTTTTTCCCCCGACTGCAATCACAGCCGTAAACAGAAGCCTTCTATTCATTGACAAATGAACGTTATCAATCACGTCCCTCTCTTCCACTGACACAGAGCTGCAGTTCAAACACTCATGTATACACTCGCTACATTGCTGCGCATAAAACTCTCCCTACTTACATTATCTGAGAATTGACAGGCGGGGGGTGGGGGCAACAAACAATTATCCCCAGAGCACAGTGTGTGTGTGGGGGGGGGGGGGGGGTCGAAGATTGACAAAAACAAATACGGGTGATGTCACCAGAGCTAAATGGCAAGCCCTGTGTGAGAGTCTATTCGTGTTTACTGTTCTGCGGGGTTTCAGCATCATAGAAATCACATTTCAGAAACGCACGAGCTGCCGTCTCAATCCCAATGCAATAAAAATAAAAAAGAAGGTTAATCTGTAGACAAACACCATTAGATAAACCTCTCGCGGTGCCGGGGATATTAGCGGCACTTATGTGAAGCGGCAGATGATTATTTTTTTTTTTG